TGATGTTAAAGCAGTCCTTCACAATCAACTAAATGCAGGATGATTTCAATCCCTGGCACATCATACAGAAAGTGTTATCATTAATCATAATCTTAATTTCTTCAATCTTATATAAACTTTACAAGATGAACCACCAGAGTACAGAAATAACATGAATTAAAATTAAATGATCAAGAATTATATTGCACAGGAGAGGAAAAGAGGCATTAAATTAAATCCAGGTTAAAAGTATCAGCACATCTATATAATGAAAGAAATACATTTCTGCATTGAATGCCCAATATGACAAGTGAGCTATGCATTTCATAGGACTTATTAAGAGCCTGTTATCGTGGATCCAGCACCATCGTTCAGACACCCCCAACACCTTTTCTCTGTACATCATAGTTTCACAAGATGTTCCTAAATGTGTGGTACAGAAAATAAAACTTTGTTTTCCCCATGAGAAAAAAAATCTCAATTTTCTTTAAGAGGATATTGTCTAAAATTATAAAAAAAAACAAAAACATGTACACAGCTGTGTAAAAAGCTGATTGTTTTTATAAATCTTCTAGGATTTCTATGTCTATAGATATGTCAAGTGAGAGTTCTGTTGTATGTACAAGACAGATTTGATAGCACATATAGCTTTCACTTTTACATTATGCAAATGAGGGCCAGCAAGCTAGGTCAGTGGATTAAGCACCTGCTTAGGCAAGTGCAGGGACTGGGCTTCAATCCCCGGCACCACACGTGGTGCCAGTCCCACTCCAATCCCTACTCCAGCCCCATTGAAGCCAGGCATGGTGGCGTACCCCTGTAATCCCAGAGGTGGGGAGGCTGAAAACAGGGGGATCACTTCAAGTGTGAGCTGTGTAGTGAGACTCTGTACCAAATACACTAAAATAAATAATAAATAAATTTGTGTGCATTACAGTAAATCCACCCACACACACAACAACACCCAGAGACAAAGTTCTGCTTCAGGTGACCAACTGTGACCTCCCTGACGTGGGGAAAATATCTAAGGTTTTTCAAAATACTGTCTATCACCCTAAAATCAACACTTCACTGAGGCAGCCCTGCGAAGATAGTTCTGAAATGGCAGATGAAGTTAATGCTAGACCTTGCGTGCAGCTAAGGCTCATTTAAATTTAGTGACTAGAAATTAGTTTACTAAAGGATATGACCAGTTGTTCTTGTGAGCTCTAGACTACATATGTGTGTTAACAGAATATATGTTACTATGAAAACAATCGAAACTTTGGCTTGTCACATAAATTCTATTTAAAAATTAAGGGGCTGGCATGATAGTTCAGTAGAATAAGCACTTGTTTGGCAAGCTCAAAGGCCTGAATTCAATCCCCGGTTCTACAAAAAAAAAACATAAAAAAATTAAAAAATTTAAAAAAATAAAAATTCTTGGATGACTTGAATTTTTGACTGGTGACAGAAAAATGAACCATTTGTTCATAAAGACTCACCTCACAGCTTTCCATGATCATATGTTTATGCTTTTACTTTGTAAATTTTTTCCAGTAAAATCAAACTATGAGTGTAAAACATGAAGCAAATGCATTCATTTCCTTAAGGGTAGAAGCATGAGAAAATGCAACAATGGAAGATGACCACAGCATGGAAGGAAGAAAGTAGCAGGCAGATTTGGTATCAGGCTCCACGTACCCACAGATACTAGTCAACAATTGTGAGATTACCTTCAATTGGATCCCCTAGGCTCATTTTCACTGTGGAGGATGGGTAGTGCAGCAGAGAAGTGAATTGGATAATGAGACCATTAAGCTTAATTGTCAACTTACCTGCATGATGAGACTCATAAAAAGGTGATTGGATCTTGGGGAGTTCTATTCACCACAGGATCCTTCCCCTGATACTCGGATATTGATAGGCAGTTGGGCCCAGTCAGTGGCAGGCCATTGCAACCATGCTTTTGGCGGTGTGTCTCCTGCTGTCACACTTCTACAGGTCTCAGAGGTGGCTGCCATAAACCAAGCAGTTTTCCTCTGCAGCACCCTCTGTCATGCTACTCCTACCTTGGGTCTTCCAAAACTGTGAGCCCAATTAAGTCTCTTCTCTAAGTTGCAAGAATGGTTATTTTGTATCAGAAAAAGGAAATCTGACTAACAGGATAATAAGAACCTTTCATGTGTTGAACTTTTCTTCGAAGGAACCAGTGTTCTATTTAATGATCTCACAGCCAAGTTCTTGTCATCAGTTTGCAGATTTTTTTTTTCAGCAAATATGATCAGCAAATGCCATCCTCTCTCAACACCTACACTTGTTTACTGCTTCACAGCCTCCATCTTCCCACAGTTGGTAGGAGCGGAGGAAAAACATGAAAGGGAGGAAAGACAGCTGGTTGCACAGAAAAAGAGACTAGATTTGGCAAGCAAGGACCCCTGTCCCACGGTGTCCAAGAGCAGGCTGGGGCTCAGAGTACTGCTTTGCTAAATATTCAGAAATTTTGTGAGCCAGCTGACACAACCATTATTAAAAATTAAATCACTCAAATAATTTTAAATAGGTTTTTAAAGCAGAGATATGAAATATCTAAAATATATCCTCTTCTAATTATTTTACAATATTCCACTTTATGCTTTTGTGATTACTTGTGACTATTTTATTTGTACAATGGAAACTCTATACACAAAGTGTACTTGAAATGGACTAAAATAGAAGTATTTACACCAAAATATTTGAACATGCTATAAATCAGGAAGTGATTATTGCCTATAGATTATCTAAACTTAACAAAGTGAAAAATATTTTAATGTACACATTAAACCCAGAAGTGTTTTATATCTGTAACCACCATGTCAATAACTCAAAAGAAACTCATTGATTTACAGAATCTGGAAACTGCTATTCAATTCATCAAAAAGTAATCTGTTCTCTTTAATCAAGTGCTATACACTCTGTATATAAACCATATCATGTATGATATAATAATGCAATGTATATGTACATGTTTTGTTTTGGATTTTTAGTCTATAAATATCAATTGACACCTCCTCCTCAAACCAGTGAAATGAGTACCTTTCTCAGAGAATAATTTTAAGAATAAAAGAAATGCTTAGGTTAACATCTTGTATAGATTATACATATTAAGTGTTATAAATTCAACAAATGTTGCAGCTCTTAATATGAATTTAAAAACTTTCAGATTTCGTAGAAGTGAATAACGTGTAATTTCCCCTTTCAATATGCTTTTAGTCTAATGATACAAGGTATATGCAAATAACAAGATAACTGTGAATATGTAATATGTCATTACAGGAAACAGCGAATGGCTATGAGATTAAAGGAAAATATGTGATTTTATCAGGAGCAACAAAGAAGACTTCATAGAGAAGAAGGAATTTTGCATTTGTATCAGTGGGGAAAGTGCATGGAAAGTGGAGGCATTCTGGATTGGATGAAATCTCAGAATGTTATTGCAAATATTGCAGTGCTAAGAAAAATATCATTGCATTGATAAATTTGCTGCATCAAATATTTAATGTTATCTCCATGTAAAACTAGACATTAGGACACTATATAGATTATCCAGCACATTGTGCATATCCACTGTCTTGTAGAATCTAGTGTTGACAAAGTAGAGCTTCAATTTCCCAATTTCTAAGCCATGCCCACTTCTGAAAACCAGCATATGTTTTCCTTTGGCCTTGTTCTTAGAAAGAAAAATTCACATTCAAGTGAATTTTAACATCATTTTTTCAATACAACTCTATGAAATATGTTCTATATAAGTTTTTCACAGGACAGAAAGATCACATGATAGACTCCAATCCATTTAGCCACTGATTCCAAACTTAAAAGTAAATTATGAATGCTTTATGTAAACATGAGTACATCCAAAGTGAAGATTTATGGAAGACACATACTGAGGCAAAGGAAGAGGGAAAAATATTTAAGACCCTTTAGGACACAAGGACTAACTAGTAAACAGCATGATTTGGTCCCTCAGTTAGTGAGTCTTGCAAGAGTTGTTGACATTACTCAGTGAAGTTCATTAAAGGTGTTTTCGCTTTGTTTGTCAAAACAAGTTAAACCTTTGTAGTTTGTGAGAAAATAGATGTAAAGCTGTTATGAAAACCTAGCAGAGCACCTACAGATTGTGTTATGTGCAGTGAAAGGAGATGTCTGTTAATCTGTCACACACAGAAGTCTGGCACAGAAGGTCTGTAGCCTTGACCTCAAGTGACCATGAAATAGACCACAAGGTCAGTGCAGATTCCAAAGGCATTAACAATACTTGCTCTAAACCAAAAGGTCTTTTCCTCCCCTCTGGCTTCTAATTTCCTAGGTCACTCTGCAAGGCGCGAAGCCAAAAAAGCCAGTTCCCTCTGTTCTCTGGCTAATGACAGCTGTCGATCTGTCGCTGCCTGAACAGCAACACTTCAAGAAAATCTGAAGCAGAACTGTAAGGCAGGGATGAAAATGACTGTTTCCAAAGAACGCACCCCTCCTTCCAGCAGCCCGGGGCTCCTCAAGCACCACCCTTCAACCTGCTGAAGGAACCACCGTATTCTTAACAGAGAGTTGAGCTGCAGCTCTCATTTCAGAACTTGTGTGTCCCACACACCTTCCACCTTCCAATTAAGCGACCTTACAGGAAATCATCCTTCCAGAAAGAGCTCACAAAGCCCCTGGAAAACTTCAGTAGCAACACCAGGGGGCCAGAGCCAGGTGTCCGAACGAGGGGCAGGGAAATCACTGATTCACAGAGCACATTGGAGGCGGCCTCTGGACTACTTGGCGACGCCTCCCCCAGAGGGGCAGTGAACCCCACAACATGGGACTGAGTTTGCGCCCTCCTGAGATGAAGAGCCCCGGTAAGTGTTCAGGCTGGATGTCAGAGCGAGCCAAGCCGGGCAGTGGGAAGGTGGGGACCCGCAGGAGCGCCCGGGTCCCCGCCTCTAGCCGCCAGCTGCGGAGACGCAGATAGGGGCAGTCCCCGGCGGGTACAGGACTGACCCCGCGGAGGCGGACAGAGCACTCACCAGCTGCAGCGCGCAGAGGCAGATAAGCGAGCAGCGTCCGGTGCAGCAACCCATGGTGCCGGCGACTCCCAGCGGCGAGAGATCCGCGTCCTCGGGCGCCGCCGCCTCGACTCCGGAGCAGCCCCGCCTGGCGCTCCCCGGTCCGGCCCAGGCTCTCCGGCCCCGCGGCCGCTGCTCGCCGCCCGGAGCTCCGAGCTCGCGCCCGCCTTTGTTAGTTTCCCGGGGCAGGGGAGGTCTGCGCGGCGCGCTCCCCCGGGCTGCCGGCGGGTCCCGGCTCCCGCTGCGCAAGTCGGCCGCTGGGGAGGAGAGCCGGCGGGCGGGGCGGAGGAGGCTCCGCGCAGATGGAGAGCCAAGACTGCCTGCTCCGGGAGGAGGTGCTGGAGGTGGGCGTCTGGAAAGTGGAGTGGGCTGTCTGGGTCGGGTGCGTGTGCGTGTGTGCGCGCGCGTGTGCGTGTGTATATGTGTGTGTGTGTTTGTGTGTGCGCGCGCGTGTGTGTGTGTTCGGTGGGAGGGGATGAATGAAAAGGAGTGCCGCTGGGAGGATTACCCTGACTTGTTAAAGTCTTTAGGAGAGAGGGGAGCCGAGAGGAAGAATTAAGAGCTAACTGAACGAGTGTGAATTAGGGCGCCCTGAGGGGACAGTGGAACTGGAGAGTAGCAGTCTAAACCTACTCACCCGCGACCGGCGCGTAGGCTAGGAGGGTGGTGGGAGGCGTTTGCAAAACAGAAAACCCGGGTTAGCCGGGGTGCCCCGGGGCTGGAAGAACTGGGACCGGTGGGTGTCCGGGAAGGAAGAGCCCGGGAGCGAGAAGAAGGCGGAAGAGCGCCCTCGACCGCTAATACGAGGTTCGGGACCTGCGGGCAGCTCCACCAGGTGATGGGTGCGCGCCTCTGCTGCGGGCTGCGGGCCGAGGTCGCCTTTGTCCACCGCAGTCGTTTGCCAGGAGGGCGCCCCTGCTGGAGTCTGCAAGGGAAAGTTGGACAGAGTTGGTTGGCAAGAGGAGCTGGAGAGTGGGTTAGGGGAAAGAGGGGGAACGCTGGGAGATCTAGTTTCGGGTTCGCAACACCGAGACCTTTTGAAATCCTCCATGTGAGAGAAGAGAAGGCGTGAAAGAGGGTGCGTGGGTCTTTAAAGGAACTGAAAATGTTTTCAGAATAAAGATAAATGTGTATCCTCCCAGATAGAAATAAATTGAGAAGGGCTTGCGAGCATGATCTGATCTCATTTAGCTGAGATCTCTTACAAGGTCTCCGTGAATCCCAAGGAAACTCGCTCTCTCCCACCTACAGGCAGGGTTCTGCAGAGAACTACATTTTATCGGGTCTCGCTGTCACAATTCCTGAGCGCCTTTCCTGTATCCAGTGCCACTGCGCAAAGAGCTGGAGAACACGCCGGAAGTTCAGGGACCAGTCCACTGCCATTGGCCTCAAAAAGGCTTTCCTCCGAATTTGGCAGGGAGACACTTTGTCTAATCCACGGCTGACCTCCTGGGTTTTCTGAGGTGCATTGATAAGAAAAGCCACAGATCTGTTGTTCTTTTAAACATTTGTGCGTACATGGAAACTCTTCAAACCATTTGTTCAGGTATTATGGAGAGCTCTGTTATTATTTGTCTTGCTGTTGACTCTTTTTGAAAGGTCTCTTTAAAACATGTATAATAAGTTTTCATGTGACAGTATTAGTTCGCAGGAAAATCTTAAGACATCTTTAAAACGGTTGGAGGGACAAATGAATGACCTCAGGATTTGAGCTTGTGAAAGTCAAGAAAATTCATTAAGATCAACTTCTGCCCCTTATCATGGAGAATAGCTAGATAAAATCAGAGTTGTTTTTTTTTTTTTCCTTCCAGCCTTTAAGACATTGATGATCAAGAATTATGTGCACGTGCTGCCTTTTTTACCCATCCTACCGTCCTTCTTGATGGATGAAAATGACAGGGAATGTGGACCTCAGCCAATACATAATTTATCATGTGTTAAAGGTCACTGCAGAAAGTGGGCTGTTGACCCCTATAAAAGCTACGGGAAGCAGCTGAAGAGAAGACATCAGCAAGTCCTGTGTCTATAAACGTTCAAAAATTTTTCTGTAGCCTCTTCATCACCAGCGTCTATGACGAATGCTGGTAATAAAAGTGACAAGACTTTCTTCTCTCCAGATTGTTTGTGCTCACTCTGACCATACGTGATTCTCAATTTATTATTTATTTACGAAATACCGTGCAGCAACTAACGTGCAGTGGCTCCTCACCAGACCACCTGTCTAAATGCTATATGTATCCTTTATGTAATCTCACAACAGCTGCAGGAGGTGGGGGCTGTGTACATCCCCTTCAAGACAATAAGTGGATTCAAGAACAAGGAGTTCTACCCCTACCAAACTGAGGGCCAGAACACAAACGCAGGTAAATAACTGTAGAGCCCCGAGACTTCACATTCACCATGCTAACCCTGAAGCATTAGGTACTAGTAGCACCTGTCAACATAAGTGCACTGTTCCCTCAGAAGTACCATCCTATTTCATGCTGATCTAACCTCCAGCACCACCAGTATCCCTCCCTCTCCCATTGTCTCTTCTACCAAGAGATCCAGATTGGAATGTCTTTATGTGATTTAAGACAATTGAAAATACGTTGATCTTAAATACACTTAAAGAAACAAATACAACACAATGTAAGCAACAAGTCTAGAAATTATGTGAGATTTCCTTTTCTCTGTAGTGTTTTGTTCTTGTTTTCTAAATTATATTTAGTCCTGAACAAAAGGTTTTCCTCCCCTTCTTCTTTCCTTCTTTCTTCTTTATTCCTCCAATTCTTCACAGTTTATACTGGCTTCTTCGTTTGCAAATGTTTATAGTATCATTTCTTGTCCTTTCCACACGGTGCTTGCAGTGGGAAAGGAGAGAAGATTAAGTCAAGCCCTACTGAACATAGCTTTGTACTAAATTTTGTATTCCAGTTGTATGCCTTTGACGAGTATGGCAAGTTTGAAAGAAGAATAATCTATCTCTTGCAGAAAAGAAAGTAGAAAATAGCAGAACAGTGTGGAAGAACTATGGCCTGGATTATGTGCATTTATTTTTAGTATAATGCTTTATGCTATGGCTTGAATGTATCCTCCAAAAAAAATGTTGCAATTTAAATGCCATTGCCAATGGTAACTGATGGACCTTTAAAAAGACAGACTATTTACTTTCATTTAATACTATGGTCTGAACATACTGTGCTGCCATGCATAAATGAATGCTGTCATCTCATGAATGGGTCAGTTATTACATGGGTATGGCCAGTCATTACATACATTAGCTAATAGTGACAGCAACAATTTCCACCCCTTTATGCCTCCCCATTCTCTCATCCTGACATACATAGTACAAAGGCAAATGCGACCTCTAGAACTTGGTCTTTACATTATTCAAGTAAAACTCTCTTATTTGCAGTATTCTGTATATTCTGTTACATCATTAGAAAATGGAACAAAACAAGTATACACAGCTTCACACAAGTAACAGGTAGTATTAAATATACACATATAAATACCCATAAATGCCTGAGAGTCATTTGAGTCTATGTGATTGGGTTTTTGTCTGTTGTTTGCTTTTTATTTATATCTTCTTTTTCCTATTTGTGTCCTGGCAAAGTTCTTTTTGAGAAATTCTAGTTCTGCCTTGCTTTAAGTTGAGAATGGAGAGTGAGACAAATTAAAAGATAAGTTAGGAGAAGACAGCACACGTAGAAGGTCAGATCTGGAAATGCAGATTTATAAAGTGGTAGGTTCGTAGCTTTTTTGGATTCATAAAATTTTCAAATACAGGTTATCACAATGCTTGGGACCAAAAGTCTTTGGGGTTTTGGGGGTAATGTTTTCACATATGCAATAAGATATCAATAGATAGAACCCAAATGTAAATACAAACTCAGTGTTCAATATCCACCTTACATATGGACTCAAGGTAGTTTATACAGTCTTATTAGTGTACCTGTGTCAAAGTCACTTGTGGAATTTCCCCCTGTATCCTCAAATTGGTATTTAAAAAATTTCAGATTTTGGATCATTTTGAATTTTCAAATTTTTAATTTTCAGTTCAAAGGTACTTAATCTGTGTTGGGATTTGGGATCATCAGGTTCAAGCTACTTCTTAAATTAAGATTAATTATAAAGTTCTTTTTCAATTATTTTACTAATTTTTATTTGTTTGTGACTTCCAGTTCTGTATTTTTATTTAAATAGAATAAATAATGGAATTTTTAGGCTTTCTATCTTCTTGGTGAAAATTTTCTAAATGAGCTTCCAGTATGTGGTTTTCTCTGATGCCTGCTTTATACCAAGCTCTTCCTTGGACTTTAGAGCAAATAAAAAATAATCCCCTATACTTCCTCTGCCAACTGGCTTTATTTCTTTGTTATGTGACAAATTGCAAAAAGAATATGACAGCTCAGAGGATAAAAGGTAAAGTTTACACTGAAACAAAATGTAGACACACATGTATGTTACATTTAATGACTGCCTATTCAAGGCTATATGGCAGCCACTTAAAACTGATTCTGTGCTGCGCAAAAAAAAAAAAAAAAAAAAAAAAATGTATGTCCTGAAAAGCTAGGGGGGATGGCATAGTGAGGAGAGTTACATTCTGTGTATCTTCCTTTTCCCTAAAAAAAGAGATACTTCTTGCTATTACAAGCACTTTGAACTTTACATCTCAGCATTTACTGCCCCCCCATGCCAAGCTCTACTCTTTGTAATGAAGATGAGAAAGAAATGAAGGGAAGATATGCATGGGTGGGGTGGTTTAAAAATCACTGGGAAGCCTAATGTGTGAGAGAATTTCCAAGGCAGAAAGTATCAGGAAAATTCCTTTGGCACACTCAGTTCAAGAAATGTTATTTGTAACTAGTTGTGAAATTTGAAAGAGATAATCAGACATCATCTTTTAAATTTTTGTTTGGGTTTAAAAACAAGCTTCAATTCATATTACCTTTATTAAACTAAGTGTCCTAATAATACTGATTTAGTTATTATAAGCAATATTTCAATGATATTCATCTAGCATTTTTCTAATGTCATACTAAGCACTCCCAAAAGTCATGAGTAAGTAGAAGCATTCCTTGTCAATTCCTTGGTGAATTTTGCCATCCAATGAAGGCTTTTAACCAGAAATTCTATTTCACACCTACTGTGA